AAGGCCAGCTCGGACACATCCGCGCGCTGCGCGGACCCGCTCAGACGCGCTCGGACGTGTCCAGACCGTCCGAGGCCTTGGAAGTCGCGTCCGGGGCATGCGCGGACAATTGGAACCGCACGGACATTTGGAGTGCGTACGGGGAGTGACCTTACACAGATACAATGTTGCATCTGTGCCCGACTCACATTGTCATCATTTCACATTCGCAGTTCTTCAATCAGCACGACACCCCCTCTTGCGTTTGGCGTCCTGAGAGCATCTGCAGGAGTGGCCCACTCCCAGGGAGGCTTGCGGGGGGCTGGCTGGCTGTGACCGCGCGGCAACCGACCGGTGGACGGGGGGGGATCACGGGCGTCCGATGCGCCCGGACGGCGCGGAGCACGGCGAGGCGGACGGTGCCCACTCGGCGGATCTGGTGGCGGGTGCTGGAAATGGTCGCCGTGGAGCGCGGTCGGGGAGCAAATCGTGAGGCGATGAGGGCGGCGGAGTGGTGTGCATACGGGGGCGGCGCGAGGCGCGTTCTGCCGGCCTCCCTTTCCAGGTGGGTTTGATTGCATTGTCTTTCAATATTTGTTGGCCAACGTGAGGAAGTTTTCTGCTAAAAGGAAGGCGTAGCAAAACGACTAATATTTGCAGTTCCAAAATGTGGCGCCGCGTTCCGGAGGGTTGCTTCTTATAAACTGCACCCGTCCCTGTTGTGCAGGGAGTGTGCTGAAAACAGGGCTCCATGGAAATGTGCTACTCTCTGTTGATGAGGTGCTAGGTGAGCCTCCACCTAAACCTATGGAGAAGCAATTTCGTGCATGAACTGCTGGCAAGACAGATCGTGCACATTAGTATATTTCCATGTGAGTAGAAGCCTTGGATTTGCTAAGTTTCGGAGTTTTTGTATTCTTAATGTGGACTTGGCTTGCCTCGAGTACATCCAGAATCAAGTTCGGTATTGATGCATAATCTACAGTGCTTGGGCGAAATTTTCAGCCCTTTTCAAGCATGTACGTAGGCATCTCAAGAACACATGTGGGAGCCTCAGGTGGTCTTATGCAATATAGAACATCAGAATTCGCTGCAGGTTGGTATAAACGGCAAAACATGCCAAGGCCAACGGAATATTGATGCACAAACTTAATTAAGTAATGGGCTGTAATAAAAGTAACTGTGAAATATTCCCCGCATATTCGTGCATCATGTATGCATGCTAATGTGCACTGGCATGGCGTCAATACTTTCTTTGAATTGGACGCGGTGGAGATGCCAAATCTTGCGCTCTGAGAACTGTTTTCAGGTTCAAGGAATATGGAAATTACAATGCTAGTATATTTTCAGAACCACATGAAACTCTTGTGCCACGATGCCCATTCGAGTTTCAGTGAGTTGCAAATTACGTACCTTTGGGTGACCAAAGGTAAACACACCGGCGTGCGTGGTTTCAACAAAATTCTGAAGAATAGGGATTTTGCTGTGCATGCGTGGCTTTTGCGACACGGATTACATCAGTATTGCTGCTGGTAGCCAATCCATGAAAAGATGTGCTCACGATGCAAATGTCTAGCACTGAAAATTTACATCACTTTGACGCTTCTATTTGCAGTCCTACGCAAAACAATGGATGCAGCAAGAATTCTGACCTCAAAATTCGTCAGCAATTGTGGTCCAAGACTATGTCCGCCTGATGAGGCGCACAATACTTATTAAACTTTGAAGCGCAGTGCTAGTCTCCCATAGTCGGGGTACTGATGTACGTTGAATCGGCACTCGTGTTTTTCAACAGACCTTTTGGCATGCGCAGATGGAAACAGAAAAGCACATCCTGTCATCTCCAAGACCAATACAATGGGCCCCTGGGGTCTCAAACTAAGTGTCATCACCTGCTGCGAGATACTAGTATTCAGAGGATAGATGGGACCGACATATATGTCGTAGTAAGTAAGTATATACTTTCGCCCCGTACACAGACTGTTTTGTGGCACTGACGCAAGGTTTGGCACTAAAGCATCCCATGCCAATGCTGCCACCGATGGCGGAAAAGCAACTGACCGCCAGGGGTGGCGCGGAATGCAACACCACCAAAAATCGCCAGAATTTCCTTGTTTTTGTTGATGGCACCGGTCCGTATGTCAGTGGACATGTCGTACGGTAATGGAACTATGAACACGCTAAGGAATTGTGACAGGGACATATGAACTGTACCGTCAAAAGACCATGTAGCACAATGAAACATGTGGGTCAAGGCAAGAGTGACGCCTTGGCATTAAACAACTATCTAGTGCCTGGAACCAAACCAATTCAATTATGTATCTGCACAGATTTTGTCTGTATGTTGACCACCTTGCCATGTTCAGGCGGCCTTTGAGTGGGCGACTCGCAGGGATCGATCGGTTTGCGCCTCACATGGGTGCTGAACCCAAAACGACCACCGAATACCGGTGAAGCGCGCACAGGTGGAATGACACCGAAACACGGCTGCGGCCAAACGATTTGGTTCCCCTCAAATTCGGTGTTACTAGAGTAGCCTGCTAGTTTGGCTGACGATTGAGAGCATTAGGCCTGATTCGATGAAGAGTTTGAAGACGGAGTGTTTCTGTTCTCTTACTTTTGATGACGCTGTCCATGCCTGTACCATGAACCCATGGTGCTCCTATCCATCCCGCCTGATAAACCGCCTTTTCGTGTCATTACGATACTGCAAAGGGGAGGTACTTTATTTCAGGTTGAGGGAGATTGCGCAAACAGACAGAGAACATATCCTTGTCGCCGACAACTTGTTACGTTCCTGAACATTTGTGATATGTAGATATGTTCCGTTTTATGCTACCGCGGAATTTACCCCACGTGTTGAGCCTTGGGTCGAAAACTCGGGTGCAAAATCGGCCAAAAATATATCTGACTTGGTCCTGGCATCCGCACTGCCATGGCTCATGGTACCCTCATCATGGTGTCCTTGATCAAGAGCCCATTTTCCGCCTTCAGTGAGACAATTTGCAACGGAACATGGGATTTAGTCAACTAATGGCTAGTCAGGCTCCAGAAAATGTTGGCGCAATGTGCAGCCCAAATGAATGAGAAAAGAGTTCACTTGCAAGCAAGTATTCTGGTCATGAAGCCGTTTCCAATTGGAAAAGCCTTTCTGACCGGAATTCCATAAGCACCACTTCGAGTCAGGCAGGGTTTGTTTTAGTGAGGGGCTTGCTCGCGTGGCATTGCAGAATTAGGTCACGCTTCCATTGTTTCTGATGGGGCGAAATGCGAGAATTAGATCGTTTCTGACATTTGAAGCCTCCGAGTGATAGAATCATCGGAGCATACTTCGAACCACAATTCCGACGCAAACCTAAAAAGCAGGCACTGAGGGATTTAGAATTGGGTGGGAATTTACTACCCAGAAAGCAGTTCGCAGAAACAATCCCTGTTAGTGGGAGCGCTCCCGCTAACAGTTCCCGCATAGCTGTTCCAGTTCACTGGAATAACTATGAGCTGCCCCAACAGCGGCCACAATGGTCTCAAGGCTGTCTTGTGTATAACCAATGCACAGGCCTCAACATGTGCTGGATCTGTTCGGTGTGATTAAGCAATGTTATGCACTTTGTGAATGCAAAGGCATACTGCGCCTGGCATAGTGCGCAAGTTGCGCCGCGAATTTCCTGGATAGACAAAATGGGGATAGGACTGGGCCTGCAACTTTCCGTGAGGTGTAAACTGGTCGATAGTATTGTGCTTAATAACGTCATCAATGCAATAGCTCTGGCGATCACCTTCCCAACATTGTCAGAATCGCCGTTCCTCGCCTCAGAATGCACGCCGCCTGTGGCTTATCCGATAAAATCGTCGTCAAGCAGCATCGTTGAATCATGACACAGCACATTGCAACACACTTCGAAGTGATGCACAATGCAGCACAACGGATCACGAGAGACACCATGTTGGACGTTAGTGCTGCTGTAGTGTGGTGCTTTATTTCTACTTCAATCGCACTGGGATGTATATTGGGAGCACGACAGGGAGCAGCCAAATTCGATTGGCAAAAATTGGCTTGAACCAAGTCATCGGGATGCTTAAACGCTCCTGTGTCGGGCGATAGGCAACGGGAAATTTCATGCAATGCAATAATTGATGCTTTGATGCATTTTGAATGCAGCAATGGTTGGCGCCCAAGCCTCTCATTGCGTGGCATTCTACCCATAGTAGGAAGGCAGATAGGAGTAGGGGTTGAGGGGGGGGCACGCATTTGCGTGACCGGGGACAGTCGTCGTTGTCGGTGGCTTAAAGCGAGCTGGCGATCGCGGGTCAATCACCGAATATGGATCACTAGCTGCCAAACCATGCCGCCAGCGAGAATGTCAATGTACAGTCCAAGCCTGTAGTGCATTGTGGTGGTGCCGATGCTTTGTGGCTGCCGGTGAAACATCACCGCTGCTGTCACATCCCAATGCCAGTTGTTGCCCGGGTCTTTTGGGCTTCGGCTCAAGCATGTATTGGCGTCTGGAAAAGGGACAGGCTCTATTCCTTGGGGACGTCCCCTTGGGGCGGACCTTTGTGCGCAATGTGGAGAGACGGGCGAGGCGGGCACTACTGGGACCCCTCAACATGGTGTGGAAAGAGGGACGTGGCAAGGAGATGGCCGCAACGTGGCTGGTTCCTAGCCACGGGTGAAATAGAGTCGTTTCTGGTTAGTGTCTGTTGTTGTTTGTTGTTGTTTTCTTGTTTTAATTCAGCCACGCTGGACATTGTCCAAAGGGCGATTTCCTCTCGGACAGTACTTGGAGCTGCCCACTGGGTTCTCTGGCAACCATCGCCTTCTCTTCCATTGTCTACCCTCATCATGACCCCCCTACACTATACTTAGACCAGCGTCTTGGGCCCTCTGGCATTCATTTCCTCCCTTGCCGCTGTTCGCGCCTTTCCAGGAGCAACAGGCCGTCGTTCCGAATGGTCGCTCTGCGGCCTCGTTGCTGGCCTTGACGGCTTCCGTGGCCCAAATCTCTGGGCCCAGCGGAACAATGCGGTCTGCCCTGGCGCCAGTGGTGCGGGCGCCCTGGCTGGTGCCCGTCGGCAGGCAGCGCGCGGCGGTGTGCTCGATCCATCGGCGCATCGCATCGAGCGCCGTATCCAAAGATGGGGAAGGCTCGCAGGCCGTGGTGGAGCGCATCGAGGAGAAAGAGCTGCACAGGGAGGCCTCGGAGTCGTACCTCGCGGTAATGGGGGTGGCATACTTGGAAGCGAATAGACCACGGCGATCGTCAAATTGTTGCTGTGTCCATTGGGTGTGAATTTCAGACCACGGAACTTGACAGGTCACGTAGCGTTCACGCACTCCTAGCGCGGGATTTCAAGAGCATGATGTTGAAAAGTGCACCACCATGGCACATCATTCGCTGAGTGCAATTTCAGATTTCACGTTTCTAACAAACAACTCGTTGATTGCGGGTCTGAATGTACTCCAGTGCATGTTTGTAGCAATTGCATACACACTTGCTAGGAACAGAGCAAAGTCATCGCTCTGTTTGGTCATAATCTCTGATGGACACAGGATTACTTGTAATCTTTGGGCTTGTCATGTATAGATACAAAGCTGCAATTGGGTTGGCGTGCCCTGACGCTGATGTGGACGGTTGATGAAAACTATCTCTTAATGGCAACACAGATATGTTGCACAATTGACAGCTCGCATACTGAGCAACAATTCCAGGAGCTTCGCTCCATGCTGATGAGGACGCTTGTTGTGTCCTATGCAGTATGCCATGTCCGTGATCGTCGGCCGAGCGCTGCCAGACGTTCGTGATGGGCTGAAACCTGTGCAGCGACGGATCCTCTATGCAATGCATGATTTAGGTCTGCATTCAAGCAAGCCATACCGCAAGTGTGCCCGTGTGGTTGGGGAAGTGTTGGGAAAGTTTCATCCGCATGGAGATGCAGCTGTTTATGCCGCCCTTGTGCGCATGGCTCAAGATTTCTCAATGCGGCAACTCCTGGTAGGATGAGGTCCGCTGTCTGCCCATGGAACCCGTCATTGGGTGGCATCGCCAAATTTACATTGTACAATTTGGCAGTGTGTGGAATAATGGCCTTCAGGACACTGAACAGAAACACTCGCTGATTTCCTTTTGTTGGCAGTCGTCGCCCAAAAGTTGAACAAGGCAGTTTGCCGCAGCTTTCTTGCAACTGTGATGCATGGATCGTCACTGGATGTCGCACTGCCATTGCAACTTCATCGCGCACATACTCTTTGAGTGCAGTTGCCAAGGAATGATAAACCAGTGCCCCTGCACCAACAAGACGATGCCAAGGACCTTCAGTGCACCGATTTACACAACTCCGTCAACTTAACTTATCCCAGAATGTTGACTCACTTCCCCTTGGAAGATAAGATTTGTTGTGATATCGTCCAATTGTTTTGTCTTTAATGCACTTCGAAAAGTATGAAGCGTGCCCCACCCACCTCCATCTTGCAAAGTATGCCATCATCCACATTCAATTTCCAAAACCCCCGGATGACAGTTGTTGGCTTTTGTTGATAAGGCCACTTTTGCTTCCCAGCTGTTGTTTGGCACTTAGGTTGTTGTCTGCTGTGGCTGGCTTGATTCTGGTTTGAGCCTTCTCCCTTCAGGTGGCTGGCCATGGGAATTTTGGATCAATTGATAACGACCCCGCAGCAGCCATGAGATACACAGAGTGCCGTTTGGATGGGCTTTCATCAGACATGCTCCTTGCAGATCTTGAGTCCGACACGGTGGATTTTCTACCAACATTCGATGGAGTTCAGGTGGGTGCTGGTGGGCACGGGGCCACACGTGTGAAGGCCACAACAGTGCTAAGCTGCACTATGCTCTGTGGCGTGAGACAGTGCTTGTATATCCTCTGGGCAATGCTCAGAGCTATGTTTTGGCCTTCATCAGTTTTCTTTGCATTCTGTTGTATGCTTGTCCTGTTGCCCGCAGAGCCCGGTGGCCAGTGTGTCTTCAGTGTGGGCAAAAGCCTTGGAATTGTCGTAGCTCAGGTGTTGGGCACCTATTTGGCAGCGTGTTTCCTTTCAAGTAGAACGGCAATCTGCAACAGTGATTGTGTCTCCCGCAGGAAGAGCCCACAGTCCTTCCTGCCCGTTTTCCCAATCTGCTTGTAAATGGGTCTGCAGGCATTGCAGTTGGAGTTGCGACTAAAATCCCACCGCACAACATGTCAGAAGTGTTGGGTGCCCTGAAGGCTCTTGTTCACAATCCCAACATCACCATTGATGAACTGATGGACCACGTTCCTGCTCCTGATTTTCCAACAGGTATGTGTGTGCATATATGCTGCAGTGAGCTTTTTTGGTGATCTGGACAGAATCAAATCCCTGCCATACTGCAGGCACTCCTCCTATCCACTGCAGTATTGCTGGAGGTGATTCCCGATGTCCTCCCATAGTTGTATTCCTTCTGGATACTTGTTTCCACGGAATCCCTTTTGCAGCGGCACATGACAATGTCAGCCCTTGTACAAATTGGACAAGTGCAGGCACAGCTGCATGGAACACTCTTCGTTTGTTCACATGAAGGTAGCTCCGCTTGTTGCTCTTCCAGGCAGTTGTCCACTGCTCTTTGTAAGCACGTTGTATGCAAAGTTGGTCAGGGATCTCTTGTTCCACATGTCTCCAGCCTGTGGTTGTGGCAATTACCTGCAATGCTTCTGCCTGCTCAGTGCTGTTTCACGAGAATGCTGCGCTCGATGAGTGTCACTGAATAGAATGTCAGGCTTGCCTTTTGGGGGTGTTATGATGGAGTTGCCTATTTGAGCTGTAGCACCTGTCCTTGGGACAGTCTGCTGTTGGACTCGGATGTGATGTGCCTGTTTGGTGGGGCTCAAAGACCTTTAGCAGGGGTTCCAAGAGGCATGAGCACATGTGCAGTCACAATTCTCAATCAAAACACGTTCGATTGATTGATGGGAGCGAATAGGGCACGCGATTGTTGACCAGCACCCTGATTCAGACTGTTGTATTTCAAAGTGCCAAGCCAGGTGTGCTTGCTCCTCCACAGGTGGTGAAATCCTGTCCACGAGCGGAGTAAGAGAGGCATACATGACAGGGCACGGGACTGTTGTGATGCGCGGATGTGCACATATTGAAGAGTCCTCAAGGTCCAAAGGAAAACGTAGAATGAATGGTGCTGGTGCGAAACCTTGCATCATCATCACTGAGCTCCCTTACAAAGTGTCAAAGGTGAAATGGACTTGCGCTCACTGTCTTTGTGGGGCTGTTGTGGGCCATTGGTATGGCAGCACTGTTTCTCATATGGGACTCATGGTGTGGCAACCTTACCCATATATATTGTGTAAAAGATGCAGCCATTTTTCAATCACACTCTTGGCCATAAACGTGCCTTGCCACCTTAAATTGAGGGGACACACGGCCTGCATATATTCTGTTGTGGCAGGGGCAGCACCTGGACTCCTGAATGTGCGATGTGATATTTTGGATTAGAAAACAGGTCCATTGATCATCTCCTTCGTAGCTATTATCGTCAAGTTCATAGGATTCAACACTATCTGACATTCGGCTCCGCCTTGTGCCTGCAAACCTCCAAGACATGTAACAACCTAGAATCTGATCCCCTGGATTGTGTCAGCGGTGTCCACTATAGTGCAAAGGAAAAATGCGAAACAGATATGAGAAAAGAAGAAAGTCCAAAAGGATACCCACTTCCAGCAAGGCTAACCTATGCCCCTGTGTGGGAGTGAGCTCAGTTCTTCCTCTGAGATGCGCACTGCACACCTTTGCCAGGCAGAGCTGGTGGAGGG